TGACCGCTCAACAGTAAATCAGAAGGATGATGAGCACCCTTAATATTTGGCTGAGCAAAGTGATGAAGTGGTTGAGAATGTGTGACGGATTTTGACCGTGACAAACAGAAAATACTCGTCCTACCTTTCTAATGTTGCCTAATTTTGAAAATGTCACCTTTCTTTATCATCAGGCTCTCTCCGATTGGAATTTGTAGTTTGATAGCTGCCAAGCTGGCGGGCATGGGTGACATCGGGGAATCATTCAAACTGCTGGGCTATCTTATGGGCACCGCCATCACTGGTCTCCTCTGCCACGGCTTGATCATTTTGCCTCTGGTTTATTTGATATTCACGAGGAAAAACCCGATTGTGTACGTTAAAAATATGTCGGATGCCATATTTACAGCGTACGGTACAGACTCCAGGTTGGTATCGTAATCACTTCCGTGTTTAGGGCATTTGTTTCTTATTTCTGCTTACAAGATCCCCCCTGAGACAAACATGAAGATCACAGGAATAAAGCAAATGATCGCAAACCAAGAAAGAAGTGTTTGATCTTAAAGCTAATTCTCCTTGTACGCACCATAGGAAATTTATAAAGAACTATATGGAAAATATGCATACTGATGTCTTAATGTTGAAGGTTAAATGCGAGTTGTACATCTCATGTGCGTCGGTAGATTACATAGGGTGCGTTTCCAGTCCGGCGACAACGCGATTTTCACGTGTGTTTGTTGGAAGTAGTGTTCCAGATATCCTTTTTGCTGATTGGAATAATGCCTTATGTTACCAACAGTAACTTGAACGTGGAGACATCTTGTTCGCGAGATCGTCCGTATCACGTCGATTGGAGTGACCCTGGAATCTGACTTGCCAACGTTCTGTCGCTAAGGGAGCACAGCCTGTGCGGTCGTAGATCTCGGTTTTATAAAAGTAGTCCCCTCTTGGTATAACTCGTCTATAGAAATTATGTTTGGAACGTCCAAGTCGCCAAAAAGGCAGGAAAATCGATGCTATTTTATCTAAGTCACCTGAGCGCCACCATGCTACCTTTTATACTTGTGAGAAAAATGGAAAAACCAAGATCAGTTTTCTAGTCTGAGAAAGACTGTTTTTATGGAATAGGTTCGTTTAGGCTACCTAAATGAAGATTGTTTAATAATTTATTACAATATGCCTACGAGCACTGATGCGTTTCCAATCTCTTTGTTTAAACCCTTTCAAATGATCACATCTTTAACATATAGCGCGGCCACTTTGCCTACTACCATGAGATGTGTAGAGCAGAACAATCACGTGGACAAACGTATCAGCCGTTTCGTTCTTCCGTTGGGCGCCACTGTCAATATGGATGGCACTGCATTGTATGAGGGCGTTTGTGCTCTTTGGATCGCACAGCTTCACGGAATCAGCCTTGGGGCAGGACAGGTTATCACTATTATGTAAGTATATCGCTTCTCTGGTGCAAAAGAAACATATCTTCTATCAACCAAAAAAAGTATCGGGTTTCTTAAAAATGCTCCACATAAAACACTTAATTCAAGGAACTCTTGTGTCACAAAAGTGGACTCTGTTTTCTGAATGGTAGATATGAGTCGGTCTTCAGACGAAAGTTGTAAATCAATCAAATGACGGCTCGTTATGGGTTGACTGATCCTCTCGTAAGGCTCTATAGACTTCTCCTCTCGTCCCTCCTTTATACTCCAGAAAACCGAGATCTCATTAGTAACTCTCCTTACTGCCTGTCATACCATTTTTATGATGTTAGTTAAGAGAATTTGGTATTAGATTAACTAATAATCAACCTAATTGATATTTTATTGTAATCTCATCACTTGTCTGCTTGATATTGTATTAAAGTTGTTGGGAGAAACTCTGTCTTGATCACTCGTGGGAGTGAAAGGGTTCATTGCATGTATTTTACAGCTAAGGATTGTGCTAGCGGGATCTGCCTCCCGGTTAGCTCAATGGATAGAGCGCTGGACTGTTGTGCGGGAGGTCGAGGGTTCGAGCCCCGGCCGGACCAACACTCAAGGTCTTAAAATAATGGAGAAGAATATGCTACCTTTCTATAACATCAAGAAATGGTTAGATATTCTAGTCTTCTCGGATAGGGACGAATAAATGGAGGTCCCGTCTCCTGCAGGGTTAGGGGTAGGAGACGTTAATTTCTTACGCACGAGATTACTGTGTGATGGATGTCCTCCCCTGGGGTGGGATGGATGGGTTTGTTGGAGCTTAAACCTCGTAGGGGACCCATGTCCTATTGTTTCTGTTCCAGTACTTGGTACAAATCCTCAAATAAATAAAATAAAATAAATCTGTTCTCCTGTTATCGTCAGGCGATAAGCCTCTCTTTCATGCGTTTTTAATATTTATTAAAGGAGTGACACTACAATGGGGAAGAATAAAAGGAAAAATAAGAGAGGATCTCTATCCATTCTCATTTGATTTTTTTTAATATTTTAATTGAGTCTGTACATGTGTGCGTGGCGTCTCTGAACATCCAAAAGTATGTTGGTATTTTCTGTCTTACTAAGTTTTTTATAATTTAGATTGACATCTATGGCTGCGGCGGTTGGTGCAGCAGCAATTCCATCTGCAGGCTTGGTGACCATGCTGATTGTGTTACAGTCTGCCAATCTCCCCACCAGTGATGTTGCTCTTCTTTGGGCAGTCGACTGGTTCATGTAAGACCACAGATATAAGCGTTTATCAGAGTGTTTTAATCTAGGAGACTCAATTTACTGTACGTCTAATTCTTCTTCGTCCTCCATGTTACAGGGGCTCCGTATTTTCAACTTCTTTGAAAAAGTAAAAAGGATGACACGTTTAAGGGTGTCTATTTCTATGAAGGGTCCTGAAAGCGTTCCCATCTTATCTTTTCAATCCTTCATTCATTCATTCGATAATTCATTCATCTTTTCAGCAATTCATCCATTTACTAATTTATCAATTTATTGATTGATTCATTCATTTATTCATTTA